CTACCATGGCAGAAACACTCAATCAACCTGAACTATTGAGAATAAAAGAAAGAAAAAAGCAGCCTCTGACATCTAGTAGCTGGCCAGGCTTTCAGAGCTGGGCCTGGCTGTACTCCCGCTGACCACAGACAATATCATGGAATATCAGAGGAGACCCCTTTAGGGACCCACCTTTAATCATGCCTGAACACGGACAAAACACCAATACTGTCCAAACCATTAAATACGAGACAGCCTCTCTGCCAGCAAATGAGTGACAGCTGCTTCTTTGCCAGTGACACCTTCAGCCGCAGTCTAATCTCCTCCTAGGTAAAAACGTACTCAAATACCCAATCATAAAATCCCCTATTCCTGACAGCGTCCAATCCAACGCAAAACCCCATTTCCTTAACCCTGCCCCAGATCACATAACCTAACTTTTTGCCCTCATCCTCACTCCCACCCAGACAGTAGAGCCCAGTGAGGAAGAGGAGAGTTTCTACCACATGGATCTCTTTTTTTAGAGAGAGAGGAAAATCTTTTCCAGAAGGGCCCTCTTCCCTGCCCCCCCCCAATCAACTGGGAGCTTTTTGGAAACAAAATTCTAATGTTTGGCAACAGGTTTGAAAAGTTCCCCAGCTGTTCCAAATGTATACTCAGAGGCCAGCCCTACTGCATTAGCCTAAGTGTCACCCCTACCTGAGCTCCGGAGGGAGGCCTACTCTGAGAACTTAAGAGGGCAAACACCTGAACAAAATCAGGGCTCTGCTGGCAGCCATGGGGCAGGGAACAGCCCCATGGACACAGCTTGCTATAGCTAAGAAAGGGGACCTCTGCAGGTCAGTTACCCATTAGGTGACCTATTGTGAGAAATAAAAAAGATTTGTTATAAAAAATGTGGTGGCTATCTTGATCCTCTAATCCCCGGCAAAAACTGGAAAATGAGGGGAAACCCCTTATAAACTTCTGTTTGACTGTTAATTAATTAAACAAGGAGCCATAAGACTGATGTAGCTCTAATGCCGTGGAGGCCTATTTAAGCAAACGAAAATCTAAGGTTGTAAATGCCTCAAGGTTATGAAAGCAAAACGCTAAGGACAGCCAATCACAAACAGCCAACTAGGCTTGAAGCTGTAGCCAATCCATCATTCCTTTCTTTGCTTCTATACTTTCTATCTTTCCGAATCTGGCTCCCATCAGCGGAGTGCTCCTAACCACTTCTGGTTTGGCGCTGTCAGATTCAAATCAATTTTGCTCGAATAAACTCTAAACATTTTTATATGCCTCAGTTTATCTTTTACCAATTCTGGTGTCAGAACAGGGAACCGAAGGAATCCCCCGATGTCCCCCAGGAACAATGAGCAACCAAGCATAGGTAGTAGGTACCTGTTAAACACCTTGAGGTCGCTGCTATTTTGCTGCCTCTGGAGATGGTGGACAAGTACCCCTCGGGTCCTGGATCCTAGCTGGAAGCTTTTCCCTTAATGAGCCTTCAGACTTTATTTGAGCACGTCTCTTTCCTGAGTGGGTCCAGAAACCAGCTGGAATTGAACTGGTTCCAACTTAAAAAATGGGCAGGATCTGGGACAGACTCGTTCCAACTTAAAACCTGGACTGGAAGGGGGAGGTAATGGGTCTGGCTTAGAAATCAGACCTGGTCCGGGAACAAACTGGTTCTGACTTAAAACCCGGGCTGGATCTGGAGACAGACTGTGTCTGACCTAGAGCCCAACCAGGTCTGACTTAGAACCCTGACAGGCTGGCTCCTACTTAAAACCCAGGCCGTATCCAGGGATGGGCTGTGTCTGACTTATAACCTGGACCAAAACCGGGGATGCACTGCATCCGACTTAGAACCCAACTGGGTGCAGAGACAGACTGGTTCTGACTTAAAACCCAGGCTAAATCTGGGGATGAACTGGGTCTAACTTAGAACCCGGTCGGGGGACAGACCAGTTCCAACTCAAAACACAGGCTGGATCTGGGGCTGGGCTAGGCCCAACTTAGAAACTGGACTGGAACTGGGGATGGACTGGGTCTGACTTAGAACCCAGACTGGGTCCAGTAATGGTCTGGTTCTGACTTAAAAACTGGACTGGATCCAGGGACGGGGTGGGTCTTAGAACCAGGTCTGACTGGTTGGTTCAGTGTGAAGACTCAGGTAAATAAAATGTTTTAAGGGTCAATAAGATTAACCTTACCAAAGATAATCTTGAATTACAGTGGCCTCAGTGGAGAACGTTTTTTTGTGTTTTTTTTTTAAGATTTTATTGGGGAATTGGGGGAGGGGAACAGCGCTGGGGAATCGGGGAAGGGGAACAGACAAGTTGCTGTCCTTTTGTTCTTCAATCTAGTGGTGGAGGACGCTGCTTCACTGGCCCATGTTGGTATTATCATTGCGCTCTTCCCAGGTGAGGCAGATCGGTCACTGGCCATTCGACGGCGGCTCTTGGCAGCTCACACCGGCTGCCGGCCACTCACGGTAGCTCATGGCAGCCCACTGCAGCTCCACTGCAGCCATGCTGTCGCCGGAGACTCATGGCAGCCCAGCTCCAGGTTGACCTGTTGTTCAGCATCTTAGCTGTGGAGGGCAGTGTCACTGGCCCTCATATGTGGGATCCGAACCGGGGCCCTCTGGCATCCCAAGCCAGCTCTTAACCAATGCGCCACTCGGCCAGCCCAGGGTTAAGAACTTTTTTTAAAGGCCCTTTCTCCTTGGCTAAAATGAAACTATGTACCCAGAGAGAAAGAAAAACCTTCTGAAGCCATAGTGGAAGGATTGACTAAAACGTTCCAAAGACACATGGCTCTAAATCTAGAACACAGGAACATTTAGATTTCCATCTTAGTTGAAGATCTTGACCCTGCTATAAAGAAAGATTGAGGATAATGTAGTTAGATGGCTAGGTCAGTGTCTACATATTACTCAGGTTGCAGCCCAATTCTTAGAGGAATTATAAACTGTACTTGTCTTCCAAATTAAGTCTTTATAGGAACAGAAATGCAGCTCTAGAAACAATTCAGAGCCCACCTATCCTTTTAATCAATCCCCAGATCTCCCCTATTCATCTCAGGCTTGCAGATATTGTAAAATATCTGAATTTAGGAAATAAAGCCCTTCTTGGAGAAACTTAAATTCTTTCACTGTACTTCTGAGATGTAAACGTTCTACCTGGTCTTCTCTAGGAAGTCAAAGCCATCTCTTGAAATGCAAACTTCAGCGAGGTAATTCTTATCAGAAAAAAAAGGTACTTGGAAGTTAGGTGAATGAAAAATCTTTAAAGTTTTTCCCACAAATATTAATAAAAGCTTTAGTCATCTGAGCAGATAACCTATTATACCTGCCAGAACACAATTTGGATCCAACCATTTTTTTATAATGAATGAGTTTTGCATTATCATATTTGTCTCATGGCTAAAATTTTAAAATGAAAGCCATAAGATCTCTGCATCTGTCTGTATGATTATATATGTCTATGTATGTATGTTATAGATGTGTGTTATTTTTCTACCTCCGGATGGTATTGCTAATTAATTTGTAAAAACCTTTAATAGACTTAAAGAAAAACAAGCATTTATATAAATCAAGTATACTCTCAGAAATATAGAACCCAAATGTTTTTCAAGTTCACATGATGTAAGATAATCTTCAGTACATAAAAACTAGTTTAAGTTCATTGGTTTAATTAAAGCAGGCATTAAATATAATACTTTTATTCTACCTACGTTTACCAAAAGTCAAATAAGCTCATTTTATCTTTTATAGAACTTGTCAGCCAGAAAGACAACTTAAGATGATAGACGTTTAATGTCTCATGAAATTTTCATGAGTAATCTAAACATAATTGTTAATAACTAAATTTAAAAATATGTAACTAAGTTAAAGGTTTATAAATGACTTTTTGACAATAATTATGATTTATGGTATGTCTACTTAAAAGTTTCCAAAATCTTTTTGGTAACTTGAAACCTTAAAGTTATACTGAGATGATTTAAATGATGGCTATTCATTGAATATCTAGATCGTTTACATATAAGATAAAATACTGAAATATTAATTACTGAACATAGGTCTATTCATTTTTGGCTTTTACAGAGGAACTAAAGATATTTGGGTCTATTACTAAACATGTATTGTACCACATGGAAAAATTTACTATGATGAAGAATATACTTCCAGAAATTGTGAAATGTATTTATAAATTTGCTAAACCAGAGAATGCTGGTATGACAGACAGTCTACATTACTTCTTAGTTTTCACTAGGAATAAAAGATTCTAAGGATTAAGAATTCTAATCAAGAGATGTAATTAAAACTACTTAGAAATAATGAGTGGAAGAAAACAACCGTGTATCTGTAAACTGACCTGGATCCTGAATTCTTCTGGTTTCCTCAAATGTCTGGCTACAGCTTTCCCAACTAACGTTTCCATTTTTCTCCCACCCTTCTGACTTAGAATCACTAAGAACTAAGACTGCCCTTGAACCTCCTTAGAAGGGGTCACACCAGGTCCTCCTCACTATCCAGGCTGCAGCCAAACTTCAGAGAATTGAACATTGGGTTCACATCCCCCAATTAAAAATGGCTCCTGCAGACTCTTGAAACTGCACACCAGCTGGAGATCTAAAATTTAAATCGACTAGTGAGGTTCCTCCCCAGAAGACGACAGCATCTTGAGGTGGGCAGGTCTCCCTAGATCATGGATCAAGGTCTTCATCTCCAATAGGAAAACTTGATTCCTTTTGCCTTTTTGCTACTTGCTTTCTCTCAGTTAATGCACAGGAAGACAAGGCTCCTTGACTATGACAACTATCATTCAATTTACGGCTAAGGCCATAGCTGCACAACAGAAGTCCCTAGACATTTTTGGGAAGGTGGTTTTAGATAATTGTTTTGCATTATTTATTGGCTGAACCAGGAGGCATCTGTGCCATAACAAGTACCTCCTGCTGTGCCTGGATGAACACCTCTGGTTTTGTAGCAAAGACAGGAAATGAACAAACAAGCCAATTGGCTAAAATAGATTGATGCCCCTTCAGGTACTTCCTTTGATTTATTTGACACCGACTGGTTTGGTCTGTGGGTCCTGGCTAAGTCTCTCGGTATTATCCTCCTGATGGTCATCATTACAGTGTCGCTGGTGCATTATGTTCTCTCAGGCATCTTAAATGCATGTTCACAGCCATAAGCAGTACATCGGAGGGTCTCAGCGAACCTGGAGAAACAGAAAACAAGATAAATGAGATGAACAGCAAAAACAATTCTTCCACAGATCTGACATCATAACCTAGGAGTTCCACAATGAAACAAGAGCAACTTAACTCTGATGGTCACTGAGAATAGCGCTAATACCAAATTTCTAGTCAATCAATCATATATGAGAGGATGACCAAAAGGGGGAATTGTTAACTTAATTAAAGGAGGCCATTAGACTGAGGTGGCTCTAATGCCACAGAGGCCTATGTAAGCAAACCAAAATCTGAGCCGGTAAATGCCTCCAGGTTACAAAATCAAAACGCTAAGGGCAGCCAATCACAAACAGCCAACTAGGCTTGAAGCTCCAGCCAATCAATTCTTTCTTTATTTCTGCCTTTTGTCTGTAAGTCTCCCCCTGAGCTCCTGACAGTGAAGCTCTCCCAACCCTGTCCGGTTTGGTGTTGCCTGATTCCAATTGATTTTTGCTCAAACTCTTAAAATTTTTAATATGCTTCAGTTTATTGTCTAACGAAAGTGATGTCCTTTTTAGACCTTTTTCTGACTGTCGCCCCTTCTAGAGAGACGTAAGCACTGCGGTGCCTTCAGTACCAGTTGTGTGAGAGCACATACTTGCTTGCCCACTGCTCTGCCTCTCCTGAAATATGTCCTCTTTGAGGCCAGGGGTAATATCTGCATTCTTCTTGGTGTGTCTAGCATCCAGCACACAGGATCAATAAATATTTGTTGAATGAATGAATGAATGAATGAGGGACAAGGAGCAATGGACAAGAAATGCCTAATTTTGGGCTAGCCGAGTGGCTCAGTTGATTAAGAGCTCACTCAAGAGTGTGAGCTCTGAGCAACAGCGGTTCGAGTCCTGGCCCGAGCTGAGCTGCCCCTGAGCTGCCAATGGGTGGCAGGATGGCTCAGCTTAAAAAAAAAAAGAAAAGAAATGCCTAATATTAACACCAAGCATTTTACCAGGTACTAAGCAAAAGCATGTACACTGAGTAGACTGATTTATTCCTAAGATAACCCTGTGCAGCAGGAGCCACTATTATCTTCACTTTGAATGTAAGAAAACTGCCTCCAAGAGCCTAATGACTTGTCCAAGGTCACAAACGAGGAAGTGACAAGTGTGGGCCTTGATCCCAGAGCCCAGTGTTTTTTACCTTTATACCCAAGAGGAAAAAGGATGTTCCACCCCCATTAGAGATGGAGACCTCTCTAGTGGCTGCAAGGGAAGCTGCCATTGGTGCGATCTGTAGCTTTTAGGATCCTGAAGGCTTTTGAATTCTTGGACTTTTTTGGGGGAAAAATGCATTGCTCAAGGACATCAGAAAGGGTGGAAATGGAGAGGAACAAAAGAAAGCATCTAAAGTCCAGCTCTGAAGGGTTAGTCTGAAGAGGAAATCTCCATTCATGGGCCAGAAAAATAAAAATGCAAATACTTCAGTTGCGGTTTAGTCATGACATACTACTTGTGAATGAGCTCCCGACATTTATGGGGAACACCACTATCAAGATCTGATCCTGATAAGCCACAACCTAAAGAGGAATCGTGGCTCCGGTTCTGGTTTCTGCACTGTATTATCTGGCCATCTTCCCCCACCTGGCCCTCCTCTGGTAGCCCTCAGTCTGGCCAATGGATCCACCACTCACCCAACTCATTCTGCCAAATGGGGAAGTCTCCCACGATTCCTCCTTCCCTCTCCCCCTTCACATCCAATTGGCCACTGCATTTTGTGGATTCTAGTTCATAAATCTGTTCATTCATTCATTAAATGTTTATTTTGTGCCACGAGTATGTAATGAACTAGAGATTTACCCCAGCCCCACCCTCCAAGCTTCAAGGAACTGAGTACCTTAAAGATGGCATTTTGCAAATTAATAGCCCATTCTACTGCAGAGCAGTAAATGCAAGAAAGGGAGAAGTAGGGCCGGCCGAGTGGCGCGATGGTTAAGAGTTGGCTTGGGACGCCAGAGGGCCCCTGTTCGGATCCCACATATGAGGGCCAGTGACACTGCCCTCTACAGCTAAGATGCTGAACAACAGCTCAACCTGGAGCTGGGCTGCCGTGAGTCGCCGGCGACGGCATAGCCTGCAGCCCCTGTGGCAGTGGGTTGCCATGGGCTACCGTATGTAGCCAGCAGCCAGCGTGAGCGGCCAGCAGCCTCAGTGAGCGGCCATCCAGAAAGCCGGCGACTGATCTGCCTCGCCCGGGAAGAGTGCAATGATGGTGCCAACTTGGGCCAGTGAAGCAACATCCTCTACAACTAGACTGAAGAACAAAACGACAGCAACTTGTCTGTTCCCCTTACCCCAGTTCCCCAATTAAAAAAAAAAGAAAGGGAGAAGTAGAAGGCTGGGAGGGAATACTGGGGGAGTATATGATTCATCTTCGGAAGCCTGAGGGGTTTCCTCTGGGCCATGTCCAAGCTGAAAGGTGAAGAATGTGTACCAGAAACCCGGTGATGGGGGAGGCAAGTGCAAATTTCTGGAAGCAAGAACAGAGCCCAGTGTGGAGAGCTGTCAATTCACCACGACTTCAGAGCCCCAAAGCTGGCCCCAGCACGGTCTTCATCTATAATAGTAACTCACGGCCCAAAGACTTCCCATTCCTCAAAAGAAAACAGAAAACCAGCAGCATCTTTCCTGTCTCTGGAGGTTTGCCCTTCAAGAAGAGTTTCCCAGCACTTGTGGTCCCTTCATCGACTATCTCCGGAGCACCCCCTCTCTGCAGGTACCTGCTAGTACCGGCCTGCGGGACGTCTCGCCTTCCGAGTTTTCAAGTGTTCGAGAGGACAGGCCTTGAAGGGGCGACTCTGAGTCCTAGGGGTTGGGAAACCACGGGGGAAACCGAGTCTTAAGGTGTTAACGACCCGGTAAGGACCCATCAGACTCACGGCCCACTGCTCACCCGCTGTCACTGGGGGGCTCCAGGCCTGCCACCTGCTTGTCCTCGCCCAGCTTTGCCCCAGGGCTTTATTGAGTCTTCCACCACCGCCCAAGGCCACTGCCCATCGAGACCCGACTGCAGCCCCACTCGAAGACGCGCAGCTCTGTTAAGGGGACCGGCGCAGCGTGGCCAGCGAGCCCCTGGACAGCAGCCCCCCCACCGCCAGTGCCCACTCCGGACGGGCTCTCTCCTGGTGCGCCCCCCACCCCTGGGCCGGAGCGCGACGGCGGGAGAGGCCGCGCTGCCGGAAGACCTTGGCCACGTCAGGCGCTCCCCTCTCGCAGCCTCCCCGAGCCCGGCGGGGACTCGCGGGGCCGCGCTCACACGAGAGCGCGCTCGCGCGCGTCGGGCGGCTCCGAGGTCCGGCAGCAGCGCTGGGCGGGCAGAGGCGGGACCGAGGGAGGGACGGCCGCAGCCTCCGCCATTCCCCGCTCCCTCCCTCCCTCCCTTCCAGCCCCGCCGCAGCGCACCACCTCCTCGCCCCCATCCCACTCCCTCCCCAACCGCGCGCGTTCCGCCCGCCCCGGAGCCTCGCCCTCCGCCAGGATGAGCAAATGAGCGCGAGCGAGGGCATGAAATTTAAATTCCACTCAGGGGAGAAAGTGCTGTGCTTCGAGCCTGACCCCACCAAGGCGCGAGTGCTGTACGATGCCAAGGTGCCGCCGCGGAGGGACAGGGAGGAGGCGCGGGCCGGGGTCCCCGAACGGGATGCGGATGCGGGTGCGGATGGCGGCGCGGAGCAGGGGAAGCGGCGGGGCCCGGGCGCTCCCTGCCTGCGGCTCCTGGGCCTGCACGGCGCCGCGCGGACAGCAGGGGGCGCGCGCGGGCGCCGCGCGGGGGAGTCGGGGGCGGGGCGTTTCCGCTTCCGCCAGGCGCGCGGGGTTGCGCACGCGCGGTCCGAAACCTCGCGCCTGCGGTGTCGCGAGGTTGTGGTCGCGGCGTTCTTTGACGAACCCGACGGCACAGCGGGCCGCCCGTCCAGGAGGGCCGCCCACTAAAGGCCTCCGCCTTCGCGTTTAATCTCTCGTCGTCCTGCGCGGTCCAGCGCCGCGTGGGCTTTCGTGCGACGCCCTGACCGACTGACCCAGGTCCTAATCGTCGCGCCAGAGCGCTGGCCGTCGACTCGCGACGTCGTTGCCCTGGGGCCCCAGTCGTGTTTGGGCCCGACCCCTCCCGTAGACCCCGAGGGCAAGGTTGACCCGGTGCCTTCTTCCCTCAGGGCCTTGCAGCATTTATGTTTTCAATCCCCGAGTCGCGCCCCGTGCCCGCCCACCTAAGGTCTCGGGGGCTCGCGAGGGACTGAGTCACATCTGCAGCTCCTCAGGTCTGGATGGCGAGAGGGAGTGGGCATCGCAGTCCGGGGGTGGGGGCTGTCCCAGGTGCGTCTGCGCAGCGCTGCCCAGTGGGGCACTTCTTAAGGACCCCGGGCTCTGCGTATTCTACTTTCGGGCTCCGCCCCCGCACCCCTCTGTTTTCTGTTTGCTTTCTTATCTCCTTCACCGCCTTGAGTATCCCGAGGAGGTGACACGTCCTGTCATTTGTCCCAGATGTCCCTGTTGGGGACACCGCTAGATTAGATGGCATAACCAGCTAGGTATCCTGGCCCTGGACGCAGCGGAGCTGAGGAGACTACAAATCCCAGAGGTCTCTGGGCTGCAGCTCTCTCGTCTGGCCAGGATTCTTCTTTAGGGACAAACTGGCTGGCCAATGGCTTCAGAAGCTGCCTCCATTCTCACACTCAGAGACCAATCACGGGGAGGTTGGAGGGATGTTTCCTATTTTGAGGTATCCACTCAGGAATAAAATGGAATTGAAAGGAAAAATGTTTCAACGCAGCTCTCAGTCTAAAAAAGGAGCGAATGCTTTCTTTTCTTTTAAAAAAAGATCTATGATCTAGTTGTCCTGATCTAGCTTCTAGTACTCTGTATGTTCTATCATTTGTGGACAATATTTCCTGGTTTCAGATCGTCGATGTTATTGTTGGGAAAGACGAAAAAGGCAGAAAGATCCCAGAATATCTGATCCATTTTAATGGTTGGAACAGAAGGTGAGTATACTTGTTAAACTGGACTGAAAATTGATAATCTCTGCAGCACAGGAACATTGCAAACTTTTTTATTAAGTTTTAGAAACACTTGTAGGGAAGCTTAATTTTCTGTTTTTGCTTTTGATCAAACCTTGCCTAATCAGAAGAATGATTAAAGTTGATTATATTTGGGTTCTCTATGGGTAATTCTGGAAACTCCAGCTGCTTCTGTGTCTAAACGAGTTCCTTTTTCAGTTTATTTGCATCTTTTTGTGATTTTAAAATATTTAAATAGTTTCCTAAAATGTATATTTAGAAATGTATATTCTGAGTCAGTTACTGTTCCTGTGAGGTGCTTTTAACATTTGTTTCATATCAAACAAAAGTACTGAATTTTACATCTTTTTTGTTTGTTTGATTAGCTGGGATAGATGGGCAGCTGAAGATCATGTCCTCCATGACACTGATGAAAATCGGAGATTACAGCGTAAACTGGCAAGAAAAGCTGTAGCTCGCCTGTAAGAATACAAAAATCATGACGTAAAACGTTACGCAATATATTTTCTTTTAGTGTTTAGAATTTTTATGATATAAAAGTAAAATAAGACAAACATGGTTTAATAAGTAATTTTACATATTGAAAGTGTGTTGGTAAAGAGTGTTAATGTTGTATTCTGAATAACTGCTGTGTTTTCAGAGAGGTTATTGTATTCTGAAATGGAGATTACCATTTATGTTCCAAAGTTTAATTATTTATCAGGTACTTAAGAATCTTTGTTATTAGTCTTGCTTTTATGGGAAGATCCAAATCAGTCAACAGCAAAATTTTAGTCGTGTTTTTGTTTGTTTTTTCAGGAGAAGCACAGGAAGAAAGAAGAAGCGCTGCAGGTTGCCGGGGGTGGACTCTGTCTTAAAAAGCCTCTCTGTTGAAGAAAAAGATGAAAATGATGAGAACTGTAAGTTTTTTATGCTACAGGACTGAGGGGGAGGATTCATTGAAATTATAGACAGGGAAACATTTTAAGCTCATTACATATTTTTTGTTTGACCTAGCAATAAGCACTTCCTCTGATGACAGCAGTGAAGAAAAGGATGAAGCAATAAGTGAAGAAAGTGATATTGAAGAAAAGACAGAAGTGGTAAAAAGTTTTTATTGTAAAAACTCTTTGTCTTTGGTATGTATTTCAGTACTAAAATTATGTGGTCAAATTCTCCAGTTGTGAATCATTTTGTAAAAATACGTTTTTTAACCAAACATTATATTTAAGGGAAAATAGCCCTTATTTATAGCCACTAAAGGAACCTCTCGGTGGCTTTTTTTTTTAAAGATTTTATTGGGGAATTGGGGAATAGGAAAAGTGCTGGGGAATTGGGGAAGGGGAACAGACAAGTTGCTGTCCTTTTGTTCTTCAGTCTAGTTGTAGAGGACGTTGCTTCACTAGCCCAAGTTGGCACCATCATTGCGCTCTTCCCGGGGGAGGCGGATCAGTCACTGGCCTCTGGACGGCCGCTCACGCTGGCTACTGGCCGCTCACGCTGGCTGCCGGCTACACACGGTAGCCCATGGCAACCCACTGCAACAGGGGCTGCAGCCTACGCCGTGGCCGGCGACTCAGGGCAGCCCAGCTCCAGGTTGAGCTGTTGTTCAGCATCTTAGTTGTGGAGGGCAGTGTCACTGGCCCTCATGTGGTATCCGAACCGGGGCCCTCTGGTGTCCCAAGCCTGCTCTTAACCAATGCGCCACTTGGCTGGCCCCTCAGTGGCTTTTTATACCCATAAAGTATTTCCATAAATTGTAGATACCTCTTTTCAATGAAATTGTGAACTTTATAATGGTGACTAATTTTTAAAAGTTGTATATCAGAGTTTGGCTTTTTCTGCCTGCCTTCAAAGTTAACGTAAATCCCAATGGTAAACTTAAATGAAGAAGAAAGGAAACAAGCATTTCCAGTGTCCTTAGTGCACTAAGACAAGTGAACTTTTGGCCTTGAACGTACTTTCCATTGGAACATGTGGCATCATTACTGGTGTAAATGTAGAGAATTAACTGGATTTGTATCATCTAGGCTCTCGTGGGTTAGTCCTTTGGATATAGACTCTCCTGTTTTAAGTCATTTAAGAAGATGGAATTGTGATATTGCAGAAGGAAGAGCTGGAGCTGCGTACAAAAAGGGAGATGGAAGAAAGAATAATCACTATAGAAATCCCTGACGTTCTGAAGAAGAAGCTGGAGGACGATTGTTACTATATCAACAGGAGGAAACGGGTATGCACGGAAAACACATAAAATATGGATTTGTATTATTTTTAAGGTTTTTTTTAAATTGGGGAATTGGGGGAGGGGAACAGCGCTGGGGAACTGCAGGAAGGGTAACAGACAAGTTGCTGTCCTTTTGTTCTTCAGTCTAGTTGTGGAGGACGTTGCTTCACTGGCCCAAGTTGGCACCATCATTGCGCTCTTCCCGGGTGAGGCAGATCAGTCGCCGGCTTCTGGACGGCTGCTTACTGCGGCTGCTGGCCGCTCACGGTGGCTGCTGGCTACACAGGGTAGCCCATGGCAACCCACTGCCGCAGGGGCTGCAGCCTACGCCGTCGCCGGCGACTCACGGCAGCCCAGCTCCAGGTTGAGCTGTTGTTCAGCATCTTAGCTGTGGAGGGCAGTGTCACTGGCTCTCATATGTGGGATCCGAACCGGTGCCCTCTGGCATCCCAGACCAGCTCTTAACCAACTCGCCACTCGGCCGGCCCGGATTTGTATTATAATAGAGTGTTCATTTAGCCACATTTTGTAATCACCGACTGAAACAACTGAGACGCTTGGGGAATGAAATTCGTGTTTTCGGTTTTGCTCTGCATCGGGTTTTAAACTTGTCTGACAGCAGTGCTCTGCTGCTGATTAGATTAAAGTACGCAGTCTTTCCCAGCCCTGGCTACCCCTTTGAATCCTCTAGGGAGCTTTGCAAAGTCCTGCTGTCTAGGGTTCAACCTAAAGGGTAAGATGAAATTGATCTGTAGTGGGGGCTGGCTGTGGATATATTGTTATAGGCTCCCCAGGTGGTTCTAATGGACCACTGCTTGCTTTTATTTAAAAAATGAATACTGTAATCTATATGGGGATGTGATCAGTAGAAGAAAAACATCAAAGAGCTTCAAAGCACATTTATTTAAAAGATTCTCTTCAAACAAAATTGGCTTTGTTTTTTGAGTTTAAAAAGTGTTTTGGGGCCGGCCGAGTGGCATGTTGGTTAAGAGCTGGCTTAGGATGCCAGCTCTGAGCAACAGGGCCCTGGTTCGGATCCCACAGGA